GGACAAATGTGTGTCGTACATGGGGGGAGGGGGCTATGGAAATACCCAATTGGGGATTTTGCCTAGTGCTGATTCAGTTGTCTTCCACTACAAAAGCTGTGTGGGTGTGTGTGTGTGTGTGTGTGTGTGTGTGTGTGTGTGTGTGTGTGTTTGTGGTTGTTACATAGGCATAGGTCAGGGAAGGCATGTCCATCCTCCAATACCAAGCTGCTACCCACCTGAAGGCCTTTTCCAGAGAGATCGAGACAGAGACAGGGAGGGAGGGAGGGAGGGAAGGAGGGAGGGGGGGAGAGCACACCAGGGGTGTCTTCCTCAGTTGTACTCCGCCTTTACTTTTGATGGAGTGTTTCTCATGAACCTGGAGCCAGCCCTGGGGAGCCTCCTGTCTCTGCCTCCCAGTATTAAGATTAGAGGGGTGCTTTACCAAGCTCAGCACTTTTTTACGTGCATGCTGGGCTATAACTCGGGTACCTATGCTTGCATAGAAAACATGGCTGAGCTGTCTCCCCAGGCCCAGAAAGAGAACATTTGATCAGGAGGGCCCTTTGAGCCAAGGCTGGGAGGTGGGGAGCCCGAGACCAGGGAGGAGAATGAACACTGGGGGGCTGAAGTGCTGTCCTGGGGGCCTGCCCAAGATAGGACTGGAGAGGGAGGCAGGTTTCCGTAGGATTAAAAAGAGTTGTAAGCCTTTTAACCCTATGACAGAACCTCATCATTATGGGGGACTGCTTTCCTTCAAGCAAATTTTGGACAGAGGGAGACGAAGGATGTGGATATTTATCAATAACTACTAAAAGCAGTTATGAAAACAGAAAGTTAAAGAAATGCCCAACGGGCCCAGTGTGCATCAAAATTATTCGGGAGAGATGGATTGTAACTTAGGAAAAAAAAACCTTTTTAATGAGAATTTTTACACCAGGGCAAAACCAGGAAAAGTAACAGATAGTGAAAATGAATAAGACCCAAGTCCCTTAAGAAAAACAGCGATTAGTAAGAGCCAGCCCAAGGCCCAGCGCGTCTCTCATCTGTTCATCAGGCCACCAGCCTCTGGGTTTTTAATAAAGCTGTCTCCAAGTTAAGCTTCTCTGGGATCAACTCAGTGAGTTCATATTCCTTTGCAAATGAGACATACAGTCAAGAGTGCTTAGTGTGGGTTAGACTTTGTTTTGTTTCTAAAAAAAAAAAAAGAGGGGGGGCGGGGAACGGATTCTCAAGTGTTGAGTTCAAACTCTCCTAGTCTACAACAGTTATTCAAAGACAACTGAGTTGTACCAACTGCATGAAAGGAAATGGACTGCTGAGCCCTAGTGTACCCTCCTCACCTCTCTCTGCAAGTGAGAGAAAAAGAATTCAAAACTAGACAGCAATAAGCTCTTCCTGATTTTAAAAATACCTTAGGGGTTGGAGAGAGAGCTCAGTGGTTAAAAACACTGACTACTCTTTCAGAGGACCAGGGTTCTGTTCCCAGCACCCACATGGTGGCTCACAGCTGCCTGTAACTCCAGTTCCAGGGGATCTGGCAGCCTCTTCTGGACTCTTGTGAGCATCTGCACACACATGGTGTACATATACTCAGGCATACACACATACACATAAAATAAATCATTTAAAAATACCTTAAACCAGATACTATGCAATAATAAAGTTATATTTTATTATTTGATGTGTATGAATGTTTTGCCTGCATGTATGTAAGTACACCACATGCATGCAGTGCCCATGGAGGCCAGAAGAGGATGTCGAATCCCCCTGGAACTGGAGTTACAGACGGTTGTTTACTGCCACGTGGGTGCTGGGAACTAAATCCAGGTCCTCTGCAAGAGTAGCCAGTGCTCTTAACTGCTGAGCCATCTCTCCGGTCCTCACTATATCTTACTTTTGTTGTTGTTGTTATTTGAGACATAGTCTTCCGGTAGCCCCTGATGGTCTGGAACTCACCGTAGACAATGCTTGCCTTGATCTGACAGAGATCCACCTGCCACTGCCTCCTGAGTGCTGGGTCCACCACGCCTGGTGAAATTATATTTTAACATGATAAACGTAAACTGCTGTGGTGCAATTTGATTTTGGGGGGCTGTCTTGCTTATGTAGTCTCGGCCAGCCTCAAATTCCTGATCCTCCTGCCTCAGAATCCCGGGTGCTAGGGTTACAGGCATGTACTATCACTCCACCATTCTGATCTTTTGGGTGGCAGTAGGGATCAAACCTAGGGTCCTGAACATGCTAATCTAGTCCACTGCTACCCCTGAGTTATCCCCAGCACTTTTAAAGTTTACTTTTTTATTTTAGCATCTTTTAGGCAGTGCTGGGGATCAAACCTAGTGCATCGTGAGTGTGAAACAAGCCCTCCAGTACTGATCTGCAGCCCCAGTACTTAAATTTTTTGAGATAGGATCTCTCTAACTTTGTTCAGGCAGGCCTTGAATTTTCTGGGATTACAGGCCTTAGTCACTAGGCCTAATCATTTTTATTTTTAAAAACAGTACATTTATTCAGCAACAATGATATGAATTTTAAATATTTTATTATTTATATGTATATGTATTTTTTAATTTTGTCTTTTTCGAGACAGGGTCTCCCCAGCTGGCCTGGAACTCACTATGTAAACCAGGCTGGCCTTGATCTCACAGAGATCCACCTGCCTCTGTCTCCCGAGTGTTGGGATTAAAGGTATGTGCCACCACACCTGGCTATTTATATTTTTTTAATGTGTATGAGTGTATTGCCTGCATGTAAGTGTACCTGTGCTGTGCAATGCCCTTGGAGGCCAGAAGAGGGCGTTGGATCCCCTGAAATAGATGGTTGTTAGCCACCATGTGAGTGCTAGAAATTGAACCCAGGTCCTCTGCAATAGCAGCCAATGCTCTCAACCACTGAGTCATCTCTGCAGCCCAATGATATGAATTTTAAATTATATCTTTCATGGTGAATATTCCCATAGGCTGTAGGGCTGTAGTTCTTTTTAAATAATACTAAACTGCAGTTTATTCTTTAAACAAAAATTTTAGCTGTTCAAATAATAGTGTGAAGAATGCTAGTGGTCTATTTAAAAATCATCATTTTGAAGTCTCTAAGAATTCCTAGGAATACTGATTTACTGTCCTCGAGTCTCAAAGAGCAACATGCCAGGAATTTGAAAACACTGAGAAACTTGCTTTTTTTTCCCTCTGTATGTTACAATCTTAAAATGTATCATTGGTAATAAATTCTCAGCTAGGGATGGGGCTTCTTGCCCACCTCCCCCATCCATGCTGGGCCCATCTGGCTGGGTGTGTGTGTGTGTACGTGTGTGTGTGTGTGTGTAGGGGTGTTAAGTCAGGGTGGAGAGGGGAGAGTGGATTTGAATATGATCAAAATACATTGTATGAAATTCTTGCATCCATAACAGCATTTTGTTAAATGTATCATTGTTGGACTTTGATTTTTAAAAGGTTTTTTGGGGGGAGAGGGGTCTCTTGATACAACTGACTAGAAACTTAAGGCCTTGTGGCAGACGGCTGAAATGTATGGACTGATTACCCCTTGTAAGACTTCATACTTCCACACAGGCATTCCAACCTTCTGGGCAAGTCACCCTGCCTTTGTGCTCCTGAGCAAGTGAAAACCAAGTGAAAGAACAAGAGATCCGAATTAAATTCATCTACAAAATAAAACATCACCTATAGAATGCAGAATGAAGGGGCTAGCCTACTCATCCAATTTCCTACTGGACCATTCATTATTGAAACTGACTAATATACTTCTCTACTCCTTGAGCGACAGATAGCAACCCTATATATGCCATCACAGGCAGTTACCGCGGCCGCACGGTACGGATAAAGGAAAGCTTTGATTACTGCTGTGTTTGATCAGTAACCAATTAGTTCTTTCCAACAGCAGAAGGCTGAGCTCACTCAGCTCGGTTGTGGAAGCTTCCCAAGGCCACAAGATGAACAACTCAGGGGCAAAGACACTTTCCTCCAGGCCCCTAGAACCTCGTTTCCACATGGGACCCGGGACCAGGAAAGAAAAATGCCAAAGACACGTGGCCAACAGTGACACACGTTGCAGGAAACGCTGTAGCCAGCCCCGCAAACAGAAGCGATCAGCCAGGAGAATGCACAGGGCTGGAAAAGGCCGACTGTGTAGGCGTGGCTTGCTGAGAGGCCGGCGCCTAAGGCAGCAGCTTGGTGATGGGCGTGGCCTCCAGGAGGAGGCGGAGCTTCGGGGAGTCAGAGGTCAGGCCTGGGGCGTGGCCTCTGAGAGGAGGCGGAGCCCTAGGCTTGACCTCTCGGAGGCGGAGCTTGCTAGAAGCCCGGTCTGGGGGCGTGGCCTCTGTGCGAGGGCGTGCCCTCTGGGCGTGGTCGAGTCCGGGGCGTGGCCTCTGTTCTCACCTGAGCCGGCCTGGCCCGCGCCTGGACGGGCTTCCGTTTGCACTCCAGGAAGCGGCTCAGCCAGCCTGGTGCTGCCTTTGCGGGCGCAGCTGCTTCCTCCGTCTTCTCTCCCGAGCGTTGCTCGTCCTGGCTCGACGTGGACGGCTGTGCTGTGAGCCCGGCCCGTCTGCGAGCCTCCCGGAACTCGGCTAACCGCTGTTCCATGGCGCTCCCGCACTTAGCTGACCGTCGTGCGCCTGCGCCGGCCGCTCTCTGGTGCGCCTGCGCGTTGCCAGGGCGCGAACAGGCCAGCTTTCCAGTGCTTTGTGACGCTAAGGCATAATGTCCACCTCCTCGAACTAAGACTCTAAACTGTAGGAACTTCGTGTCGTTCTTCGGTCTGGCCCTGGCCTCCTCGGAGGGAATGTGTGATGTGCTCCCTCATCACCTCTCTACCGCTCTTCCGCACATCCAGTATCCTGTTCTGTGGAGAACAGTGATGAGCACCACAGAGAAACTGAGTCCAGGACACAGAGGAAGGCCCGTGGTTCCTGGGAACAATGACTTTCCCAGTGTCTTAAAGGCAGGGTGCGTCCTACCCTTTGACTCTCATCGAGGTGTGCCCATCTTGGAAGTGACTTCCTCACTGCTCACAAAAACAGATTGTGCACACGTCCATCGTTTTTGCTTGCCAGTCTGGAAGGGTGTGCTGATGGGACCAGAGAGGTTAGAAACGTTAAAAACAAACAAACAACAAAAATCTCTTAACTGGGATTCAACTTAAAATGTGCAAGTCTGCGAGAGGCGGCAGAAAGATAGTAAGGGTCAGAGGTTGGGGAGGACTTTGGACAGGACAGGACTACTGCACTCATGAATGCAACAGCACCTATATTTGTCTACACGAGATCAAGCCAGTCAACATAGCATGGAGTGGGGAGGGCCTGTTATTGAGAGCTGAGGGCTTCTGAAGGATGGAGAGTCACTTTTCTTTAAGGACATGGCCCCTGGTAGGCTGACCATGCCCTAGTTCATGGTCCCACACTCATGAGTACATGGGCATCACAGATTGGAATCAATGGGTTGTTTAAAAACACAAAAAAGACATGAAGTTGGGAGGGAGGAGTCAGGGGGCCTTGTGGGAAGTGAATATATTCAAAATACATTGTATGCAAGCATGAAATTCTCAAAAAATATATAAATAAAATGCAAATCATTATAAAAAATAATGTGTATTGGTGTACTGCCTGCATGCATGTAAGTGTACCTGTGAAGGGTAGTGCCCACGGAGGTCAGAAAAGGGCATCAGATTCCCCTGGAACTGGAGTTAGCCATCATGTGGGTGCTGAGAACTGAAGTCGGGTCCTCTGCAAGAGCAACCAGTGCTCTTAACCACTGAGCCATCTCTCCAGCCCCCAAATATGGAAATCTTAATGTAGTCCCCGCTATGCACTTGTGTAACCATCACCCTGAAAAGAATATTCTAGACTCTGGGAGTACTTATTCCTTCTCCCAATTAGTACATTAGTGCTCACCCCAAACGACACAATACAGATCTGACTTGTATAGGTTTGTAAAGCTCTGAGCTAAGTACCTCACATCTGGCAAAGTACCACTTGCATAACTGAGATCAAGTATTGGTTGGCTCTTGCTGCGTTTGAGTCAAAAAGCTGGACAAATTAAATGGAGTCCCATTCATTTAACAAATATTTAGGGGCTCTGTGTTGAGTATTGTACCAAGCATTCAAGGATTCCAAGGGCCTAGTGAAACAAAGACCTTTGTTTTCTACATTCTAATTGGAAAGACAGGCAGCATACAAAAATATCACTGCATATTGAATGTCAGGTGCTGATAATTGGATAAAGCAAAGCTGATAAATGGTAGAAAACAAAGACTCAGTAGTCAGGAGCCAGATTGCAGTCTTACGAACCACAGTGAAAACTTTGTATAGTTCATGTGACAGGAAACAACTAGAGGCCTTTGGGCAGAAGTAGACAAGATCTGTGGATCACACAGGCTGCAGGAATAAATATGGTAGAATAAGACTGGTCCATTAGGCTAATACAATCGAAGTAGTAAAATATGGTCAGATTCCGAATTCTGAACATTTGAGCCAGAACAGATGAATTGGATGTGGAGAAAAGGACTAATGAACGATAGATCTCACATATCCCCCTCATTAAATAAAAATAACAAATTTAGTTTTAAGATCTTAGATGGCTTTTATTTTCGATTCCAGAATCAGACAACATCTGCGTTTTAAGTTGCACCCTGTGGCAGTTTGAATGAGAATGTCCTCCAAAGGCTCCAAATATTTTGACATTTTGTCCCCAATTGGTGGCGCTGTTTTTGGGAGGTTTGAGGAGGTGTGGGTGTGCTGGAGAAACGTCACTGGAGGCAGACTTTGAGAGTTCTTGTGTCTTGCTAAATTTCCAGTCTCTGCTTCTCTCAGAGATAGAGTCTGATTGAAGATGTGATCACCCAACTTTCCGCTCCGGCCACCTCTGCCACCATGCCCCCCCCACCATTAGGGACACTAACTCTCTGAACTATAAGCTTAAATAAACTTCTCTTTCTATAAGTTGCTTTGGTCATGGTGTTTTATCATAGCAACAGAAAAGTAGTACACACCCCAATTAGAAAGGTTGTTTCCAACAGTCTTTCTAACCAGGCAAAGTGAATTGACTAGGCAAAAAAGGTCCAATACAGAGGGGGCTGGTTGATTCAAAGTTACTTTTCTTGTGTTTTAGTTTGTTTTTCGTTTGTTGTGATAAATACCGTGACCAAAAGCAACTTGGGGATGCCTCAGAAACATGCCCACAGGCCAGTGCTATGGAGGAAATTCCTCAACTGAGGTTTCCTCTTCCCAAGTGTCCCTAGTTTGTGTCAAGTGGATAAAAACTAACCAGCACAGTCTGTAAAGGTGAAAGAAGAAAGGAATTCTTTATCATGCCAGCTGAAAGTTGCGCGTTGAGGGATCTAGCTACCATTTCTCTTCTGATTTCTTGGAAAGTCAGGGGAACTACTTAGTTTGGAATCAATGGTATGGGACTTTAACATGAGTGACCTCATGTGGGTATAGGCTGTTATTTGGCAGGGGCTCAGTCCAAACCAATGGCCTCCAGTAAAATAGTATCGCATACCCTCATAGTCATTACTATCCTGAGCACCAAGCAAGTGCTGGGCTCTCAACCTTTTATAGAAGGAGACTATAGAGAAAGATTATGGACTGAACATTGAAAGTTTCGGTTCGGGCATGCCGAGAGTCAGGTCCTATGGCATATCCAGATGGAAGCAGTTGAATAGAGAATACTGGGTCAGAACTAGGCACATGTAACAGGAGCAGTCAGCTGTGTGTGATGTTAAGCTCTGAGGCTGCGATGAACTGGAAAGTGACTTCATGAAAAGAAAGATATTTGAAGACTGAGCCTTGTGGAGATTTAGAGATAGCAAGAGGGGAAAAAAGTGGGAGTTCTATTTTAAAGATTTTATTTTTATTTTTAATTATATGTATGTGTGTATACATGAATGAATGTGCCCATGGAGGCCAGAAGAGGGCATAGATCCCCTGGACCTGGCGTTGCAAGTGGTTGTAAGGCACTCAATATAAGAGCTTGGAATTGAACTTGGGTCCTCTGCAAGAGCAATATGCACTCTTAACCACCGAACCATCACTCTAGCCCCCAAAGTGGGGTTTCTAACACCAGTGTTCTCTCATTGAGAAACCCTAGGAAATTTCTTGCCCATGTTGGCATCAGGAGCAGTAGGTCTGCATCTTAGAGACTACAGATTCTTTTGTTCATTGTGTTCGCCACTTAATAAGAACACTGAGACCTTAGAGCTGCATTCACAGTCTGCATCTAGCAGGCAAATAGAATTAATAAAGAGATCTGTCAGCTGTTGGAATCAGTGTCCCTGGTAGGAAATGTGGTGCCCTCAAAAGGATGGAGGAGGGTTAGTTAGGAAAGCGTGACTGAGTGAAGAGAACCAACAGGAGATGATTCAGAGGAAGTCTTGCGAGCATCTAGGACCAGAGCAGCAAGAGAACAGAGGATTTATCAGACTCCAGTGAGACCTGGAGCCGGATGCAAAGCCAGGAGGCCATGAGAGAGCCCAGAGTGCATAGGGAAGGGTGGAAGCAGGATCGACCAAGCCCAAGGGGCCCGCCCCAGGCTAGTGCTAACACTGTTCCTACCCCATCTTGCTTTGGTGACCTCATTTTCTCTTTATCTGTGCTTCCTAGTTTATTACGGATTTGTCTTGGCACCTTGTAAATGTCTTTAACTCCTTTTTGGAAGAGGTTGAAAGACAAGATGAAAGATGAAAGAGATGATCATAAAGAACTTCTGCCAAACCAACCTAATTTTCTTTTGAATAAAATTATAGGATGGGGGGGGCGGTGCTGCCAGGGGGTTGGAGAGATAGCTCCGTAGTTAAGAGTGCTTGCTGCTCTTGCAAAGGATCTGAGTTCAAATCCCAGATCAGGCAGCTCACAATCACCTGTAACTTTCATCGGGCAGCTCACAATCACCTGTAACTCTAGCTGCAGGGAATCTGACACCCTCTTCTGGTTTCCAAGGGTACCTGTATGCACGTGTGTGTGTGTGTGTGTGTGTGTGTGTGTGTGTGTGTGTGTATACACACAGACACACAGACACATACACCTTAATAAAAATAAATCTTTAAAAAATAAGATTGTTGGAAAGAAAATAAGAAGGGTCTTCTAAAATGTATGTAATGTGTGAATTTTGTGAATTTATTTTCCCTTGGGGAAGTGGGGTTGGGTGGGGCTTATCCTACTCTTGAATCCAGGATTCAGATAAACATCCTACAGTGCATCGGACCAGGCTAGACAGCAAAGAATTATCTGGTCCCAAATGCTGAGTGCCAGTGCTGAAAAACCCCACAGTAGAGCGAGTGATGCTATATGGTCTCGTAAAACTCATGGCTTAAAACTCATGCAATACTAAAAAGAAAAAAAAACTTAGACAAAAACAAATTGTGCCCATAGTGAACTTGTACAGATATCTCTTAATCACCCTCTAGATAAAGGATAAAAATAGTACACAGTCAGGGTTCACTAGATGAGAACCAACAGGATGAATATATATATATATATATAAAGAATTTATTAACTCAGCTTATGATGAAATAGTAACAACAGTCACCTCATACCTGAGAGGCTCGGTCTAGGGGACTAGGTGCCTCAGGAGTCCCAGTCTGGTGCTGAAAACGTAGACTGTTCTGGGAGAGCCACAGGTGCTTAATCAAGGATGGAAACCTGGAAACGCTTGTTCTGATATCAGTGAAGGAACAGCAGCAACTGGGTCAATCAACTCCGTGGCAAGAGGGAAGGCCAAGCCAGCAAGAGGAGATAATCTTCCTTCTGCCCTGCCCTGAACTGCTTGCTACCCAAGGTCCACATTTGGTGTGGGTCTTTTCCTGTCAATTAAGGCAATCAGGACAATTCCTCAGGTGAGACTCCCTACACAAACGATTCAAATGTGTGGCAAGTTGGCATTAAAACCAACCAGCATAATCCACCCCTTGTCAGCTTGACACACAAACATGTCACTTTTAAAAAATGTAACTGGGGGACTGGAGAGATGGCTCAGTGGTTAAGAGCACTAGCTGCTCTTGCAGAGGACCTGAGTTCCATTCCCCAGACCCACATGGCAGCTAACAACTGTCTGTAACTCCAGTTCCAGGGGAAACCAGTGCTGTCTTCTGACCTCTGTGGGCAGTGCATGACACAGGTACACTTATACACATGTAGGCAATACACTCACTCATACACATGAAATAAAATAGAATAATAAAATATTTTTAAAATATACATACATTTTAAAAATGAATAAATATTAACATAATGATAAATCATAATGACCACACCTTGTCCTCTTGTCCCTAACCTCTCTTTTTTTTTTGGTTTTGTTGGTTTTGTTTTTTAATTTCTTGAGACAGGGTCTTTCTATAGCCCCAAGTGATCTGGAACTCACTATATAAATCAGGCTGGCCTCCATCTCACAGAGATCTGCCTGCCTCTGCCTCTTGAGTTCTGGGATTCAAAGTGTGAACCAGTGTACCTGGAACTCATGGTTTTTTTTTTTTTTCATAATAAAATATAGTTC